CGATGTCTGATATGTCATTATAAATACACAAAAGTCGGAGCATTGTTTTTAACTGACTGGCTTGAACAACGGTAAGGTATAGCCACAGCAAAACATTCCGTACTCGGCTGTTTACACCAGAATCGCAAACAATAAACTAAAAACGAACAATCGGTTTTCAATGTTGGTTTATCGCACTGAAATATAATATATTTATATCTAGTCTTCATCGAAACACATCGATGTCTGATATGTCATTATAACTACACAAAAGTCGGAGCATTGTTTTTAACAGACCGGCTTGAAAAACGGTAAGGTATCGTCACAGGTAAACCGGTCTTTCTCACCAGATCTATTAATAGACTGACAGGCGCTCACTGTCGCTACAGCTGTCAGGCATGGTCGGTCAGTCGATCGGTGTACAGGTAAAGGTGACCGTTGTGCCTGGGGGGAAGTTTCAGCGAAAAGGGGAAGTTTCAGCGGAAAGGGGAAGTTTCAACGGAAAGGGCAAGTTTCAGCGGAAAGGGGAAGTTTCAACGGAAAGGGGAAGTTTCAGCGGACCAAGGGGAAATTTCACAGAAAAGGGGAAGTCCTACCGGGCATGGGGAAATCCTACCGGAATAGGGAAGTCCTACCGGGAAAGGGGAACTTTCATCGAAAATAGGGTAATTTCTACCCACATCGATGTCTGATATGTCATTATAACTACACAAAAGTCGGAGCATTGTTTTTAACAGACTGGCTTGAACAACGGTAAGGGATAGTCACAGCAAAACATTCCGTACTCAGCTGTTTACACAAGAATCGCAAACAATAAACTAGAAACGAACAATCGGTTTTCAATGTTGGTTAATCGCACTTAAATATAATATATTTATATCTAGTCTTCATCGAAACACATCGATGTCTGACATGTCATTATAAATACACAAAAGTCGGAGCATTGTTCTTAACTGACTGGCTTGAACAACTGTAAGGTATAGCCACAGCAAAACATTCCATACTCCGCTGTTTACACCAGAATCGCAAACAATAAACTAGAAACGAACAATCGGTTTTCAATGTTGGTTAATCGTACTTAAATATGATATATTTATATATAGTAATCATCGAAACACAGCGATGTCTGATATGTCATTATAACTACACAAAAGTCGGAGCATTGTTTTCAACTGACTGGCTTGAACAACGGTAAGGGATAGTCACAGCAAAACATTCCGTACTCAGCTGTTTACACAAGAATCGCAAATAATAAACGACATAAGAACAAACACTTTTCAATGTTGGTTAATCGCACGTAAATATGATATAGTTATATATATTAATCATCGAAACACAGCGATGTCTGATATGTCATTATAACTACACAAAAGTCGGAGCATTGTTTTCAACTGACTGGCTTGAACAACGGTAAGGTATCGTCACAGCAAATAATCCGTACACGGCTGTTTACAGAAGAATCGCAAATAATAAACGACATAAGAACAAACCCTTTTCAATGTTGGTTAATCGCACGTAAATATGATATAGTTATATATATTAATCATCGAAACACAGCGATGTCTGATATGTCATTATAAATATGCAAAAGTCGGAGCAATGTTTTTAACAGACCGGCTTGAACAACGGTAAGGTATAGTCACAGCAAAACATTCCGTACTCAGCTGTTTACACAAGAATCGCAAATAATAAACGACATCGATGTCTGATATGTCATTATAACTACACAAAAGTCGGAGCATTGTTTTCAACTGACTGGCTTGAACAACGGCAAGGTATAGCCCCAGCAAAAAATTCCGTACTCGGCTGTTTAAAACAAAATCGCAAACAATAAACTAAAAACGAACAATCAGTTTTCAATGTTGGTTTATCGCACTGGAATATAATATATTTATATCTAGTAATCATCGAAACACATCGATGTCTGACATGTCATTATAAATACACAAAATTCGGAGCATTGTTTTTAACTGACTGGCTTGAAAAACGGTAAGGTATCGTCACAGGTAAACCGGTCTTTCTCACCAGATCTATTAATAGACTGACAGGCGCTCACTGTCGCTACAGCTGTCAGGCATGGTCGGTCAGTCGATCGGTGTACAGGTAAAGGTGACCGTTGTGCCTGGGGGGAAGTTTCAGCGAAAAGGGGAAGTTTCAGCGGAAACGGGAAGTTTCAGCAGAAAGGGGAAGTTTCAGCGGACCAAGGGGAAATTTCACAGAAAAGGGGAAGTCCTACCGGGCATGGGGAAATCCTACCGGAATAGGGAAGTCCTACCGGGAAAGGGGAAGTTTCATCGAAAATAAGGTAATTTCTACCCCCTTTGCGAGGAAACTTCCCCAAAACTATTCCCTAGTGAAAGGCCATCTCAATATCGTTTTACTGTCAGTTTAAACAAGAAACATCAGAAAACATATGTCTGTTATTCCAAAACTATAAATACTGTTGAAGAAAATCTGGAAACATGAATGATCTTCCTTCGTTTTGCAGTATTGTTGAGCGTTTGTCAGCACTAGAGGAGGAAACTGGTCAGAAGAAAGATGGCGAAAGTTCTGACCTTGACCTTGAGAGTTTGATGATAACCAATACAGTGACGGACACAGAAATTGACACACTGGTCAGTGGTCTGGAAGAGGTCAATAAGGTCTTGTCCATTGCTCCCAGCATGATTGTAAGTTGAGTTTTTCTCTGACACTATCATCTACAATTATAGGTTCATTTTTCTCCTGTCCACTTTCCATATTCTGACAATCATTTTAAGGATCCTTGTACCACAGACAAAAACTTGCACTATGCATTGGAAACTGTTTTCCGGCATGACTATAACTATGTTTAATCATTTCTGAATAGAAATGGATAGCATGTGGAACTTTAATAAAAAAAAATGTTCTTGAAATACTCCAAAAAAATCAATGTAACTGAGCTAGTTCTTGATTTAAACCCTGAACCTGATCATTATACTGTCACTCCAACCAGCTGTTCTAGCTTGTCAACCATAGTGCCTCGGCAAAGTCAAGCTGCAGTAATATCTAAAATAAAATTAAGGGGGAGGTCACAGGTTACAGTATGTACCAAACCCTAGAGTAGAATTCTTTAACGTTTTGTGGCACAGAGTTCCTTAATACACTGGCTGTATAATAAATGAAATATAGTTTGTGATTTTCATACTGACATGTGATGATTTGATATACTTTAAGATATTTTGTATAAAATTGAATTTTGATATTCACTTGTAAAATGATGCAGAAAAAATAGGATGTTACTTGTTTCTAAGTGATTTTTTTTTTAGATTTGATAAACTACATGTACCTGATTCATTTTTGGCGGGAGATTTGAATCTCAACATTATATAGGACTGATTTTCAAAGGTTGAGTAATGATACAGCAAAATTAGGATAATCTGACCTTGAGGTCAAATGTAAAAATAATTTAAATGCTGGTTACAGGTATGGTTAGAATTTTACCTGTACACAACAGCTATGATTACATGATGCCAATATTATTATTTATGATGTATATGGTTAACAAATTCACCCCTGAAGACACGTTTTAACTCTTCCAATTCAAAGGTTCATTATGAAATTTCAAGGGTGAATGAGTAAATAGCAACACAATGTCTGTTGTGTACATCAGTGGCAACATTATAATTTGGGTGTGACTTTGTGAGACCTCCACCCACTTTCTGTTTACTTGTACATGTATAGAAATGTTCTGCTTCAGGGCCAGCCAGGACGTACCCTTCCGGGGAACACATTCGAAATAAAAACCAAACCAAATGACCCATATCCCAACTTGTATCACTTTGCCGCGGCCAGGTAATTATAAGACTGAAAACATGACTTTTAACCTGCAAGAAACCTTGAAGAATTATGACATACTGTTCACTCTCCTACAAGTTTATGTGTATTTATTTCACATTTAAATTGAGTTTACTTTGCTAAGATTTGGAGAGATGCATTTTAATGCTTTAGCGTAGGGCCATTGACTCTGACAGTCAAAACTGCCTATTGGAGCGGAAAATCACTCGTGCTTTATATTCACAATTAAGTAATGTATAACACAATTTACAGTGATTTAACTTTGTAAATTTGCATGAAAGTGTAACATGATTGTGTTCTTGTTTTATTTTAAGTGGTCTGATGGAAGCCCTTTTTGTATTGTTGTCTGTTCCCTCCACGGCTGGGCACCACCAATTATTTCCTGTGATAAACAAGCTCCTGAAGACTCTGGTCAAAACACAACATGGCCTGCAGTTTCTGTCGTGTCGACCAGACGTCATCAATGGTATCATACGCTCAGCTGCCACACAAGACAATGTAAGTTAAGTTTCATTAAATGTCATATTGCTAAATATCACATGTCTGTTACTATCATGTTTCTATCAATATCATGTTTCTGTTAATATCACATTGGCCAACAAACCATATATTGCCTCGTATATTCATATATGGGACGGCCCTTAATATCAGAACCATTTGTTAAGCCATATTTAAGTTCAATACAATTGTATGTGGGTACTTGCATATACTTGTACAGGGCTTTTATTGGGGGCGGGGGAGGGGTCTAAATTTCAGCCCCGATCAGTATGGAAAATAGTGTTTTTTATGGGTTTTTTTAAATACCTTCGAAAATCCCCAATTAAATTTTAGTTGTTTTTTTTTCATCTTGTGTTCAGATTAGTTGCAATATCTTATTCCTTTGAATGATACTGTGACTAAAAAAGTCAATTTCAATATAATGTGGAAATTCCCAATTTGGTTTACTCCAGCACAATTTTCCCAATCCTAAAGCCACAAACCCCATTCCAAAAACAGTGAGAGAAAAAAAGTTGTTGTTAAGTATCACGTTAAATACCCTGTTAAGTACCACGTTAAATACCACGTTAAGTACCACGTTAAATACCACGTTAAGTACCACAGTAAGTACCACGTTAAGTACGTTAAATACCACGTTAAGTACGTTAAATACCACGTTAAGTACGTTATTTTTTCCAAGTCATTTTATATCTATTAAAATTAAAGGAGATATTGAAAGTCAAGAAAACAAGAAACATACTGTCACACAAATTTTAGGGAGTTGAATATTCATTCTTATCTTTGTATTCTGTCAAAAAAAAACTTGCTAAAGCCTTATGATATGATTTCAATAATAAGAAAAGTCACATCAGAATATATCATATTGAATGTTCTATTTGTCAATATTAATGAAGTCTGTACTGTAATAAGATTCTGTTGTATATGCCAGGAATACAGCAGGGATGAACCGGTGGACGATAACCCACTACACAGACTAGGACTAGAGGTATTCCATGACCTGCTCGCTCTTCAGTTTATTGACCAGCTCCTTCAGTACCAGAGTAAAGGTCAGTAAAAGTCTTTCTCATCTGTGGTCAGTTTGACCTGTATAACACCATTAAGGTCAGTGTTCACTATTCCTGGTCACCAATGGTCAATCTGACATTTGTAACACTATATAAACATCAGTATTGTCCAGTCATGGTCACCAGCAGCAAGTTTGACCTTTGTAACTCTCATCAGGTTTAATATTGTCCAGTTGTGGTAATCATTGGTCAGTCAGATGTATGCCACACAATAATAAAGTATTATGAAAGGTCATCTGAACATAGAGTTGATCATGGTCAGGATGACATTTATTATAAAATGTAATGATTCTTTTGCAAATATTTTCTTGCAGTGTTTGTAATGTGATGAATCTTGAATTAATTTCCATTTCATGTGAGAGTGATGAAGAAATTAATTGTTGAAATTATTTATCTGACAAAGGTAAACCATTACTGCAAACAGATAAAAGAATGATTTAAGCATTTATTTTTAACAGATATGACTGAAATGGTGAAAATAAAATTCAAGCATTAATCACACTTGGATTTACATGTATTGTGGAGAAAATGAATAACAATAACACATTAATCTGATACAGAGGACAAGGAGATGGATGAGGTGGTGTCTATCGAGGCACTCCACAATCTGTACACAATGACCTTTACCCCGGTGGGACGAGAGGCAGTTGTTCATGTCCTTGGTCAGGACGATAACTTGACCGCCATTCTTCCCTTTGTGGAGCACACAGGTAAGCCTAAAAGTTACAGGTTAATATGATGAAAAAGAAATTAATAACACAATAGATTCAGTGTTATGAACTGGAAAAAAAGTAAAAGAAAAGAAAAAAAAAACATTTTTCAAAAGGTTCAATACAGTCAAACCTGTATTAAGAGACCACCTTTGGGAAGTCCAAAAACGGATACCAAAGGCAGTGGGTATGTGGACAGTGTCTGGCATCTCCTGTTTATTACTGTGTGTGGGTATATTTGTGTAGGGGTCGAGGAAAGAGATGCACGCCTTAAGAAGTCTATCTGTGCTGGGTACACACTCAACTTACTGTTGTTACTGACCCGACAGTCTAGTAACTGTTACATTTACCAACAGTTTGGACAGCGCCTCTTGGATATCGCAGACAAGGGTGAGTGTGAAATTCAGTATCAACCGACATTTTTGTTACATTACATTTCATGAACATCTTTGAATGTGTAAATTCTTGAATGCATGAAAGTAGAAGTGAAGTAAAATCTTGATATAAATACTGTGAGAAACCATACAAACACATGTTTCATATTTTATACAGAAGGTGAATTAAATTTGCTTGTGTATTGCTATTATACTTCAGAACTTTGATATGTGAAATTGATGTCCCATGTTTTTATGTAGTTCATGTGTATGTAATGCGTTTATGTATTTATTTATGTATGATTATTGTAATAATAATGTGATGTAACTATCATACACCAGACTGTAAATAGCCGTTAACAAGAACAAAAATGACAAAACCATTGTCAATAATTACTTAAAAACAAATAGTTTTTTATTTTTACGTGAAAATTCAAAAGCCATTTATTGTTGATTTCTTAACTGAAAACAAAAATAAATACTTTTCTGGTACCTGGTATTCAAAATGTGGTTTGTGACACAAATGAAAAAATTAACACTCAAACGTTTAGAAATGAATATAAAAAATAATTGTGTATGAGGAGATGTCCTGGTTGGATCATGGAACTGATTTGTTTATCACAGACTACAGCAGTAAACTGTTGGACCTGAACGAATGGCTGTCACCACTGAAGAGCATTACAAGTTATAATCACGAAGGAGTAGCATCAGCCATAATACAGCTCCGCCTCCACGCAGACAACCTCCAGAAAATCCCACGTCCCTTGGTGACAGTGGTACGAATACTACGGCACATGAGCATCGCCCCAGAGCGCAACTACCCCCATGGTTAGTCATCAGTCAGAGTGGATGGATTCTTATAGAGATGAGTCTTGTGAAATGTTTCTGGACACTTTATGTGTAAGATGTGGTGGGCCACACATCCGACTATGTGTGGTATTTAAAATAAATATAGTCTTAAAGATACCCATACCATTGCCTATTAATGTAACTATGAATTGGAAACTTTCTTGATGAGATGACAATAGGTTATATATCTTTTCTTCTTCATTTTAAAATCTGTTATCTATGTTCTGTTCACTCCTATTGTAAAAAAAACCCCAGTTTTTTCTGACTTTTTTTTCTGTTCCATTCAGATGAGCCAATGGAAATGAAGTACAAATACAGCCTGTTGGAGATGTACAGTGGGGACTGTCTCCACATATTTATCAACATTATACAGGTAAAACATCTGTCATAGCCACAAACAAGCCAAGTAGAAATGCTAAACATAGCACTGTAAATGTCGTGGTCTATTTTTTGACATGATCATTTTTATGATGACATGATATTTTTGTTTAAATAACTACAAGAAGGCAGTTTTTATTTATTAAAAAAACAAAAACTTACTGGATTTGAATTTCAGAATCCCCGTTAGCTTACTCTGTATGAGGTGTCTTTAAAAATATGTGATGGTACAGCGTCTGTCCTCATACGTACGTCCAGAGTAATTATATAATGGTCGTAGATTACCTGGGTTACAGGCTATTGACTCTGTTTCGTAAGATTTGTTTAATTTGTAGGTCCAAGGAGACGGTTGTTTTAAAATCTTCGAAAATCTTCTTCAAGCAAACCATAAGGTCTAGAGTAATCGTTTTTGGTTTGTAGCTTGTTGGGATGAAGGGCCAGCTTTTAATTTTTTTTGAACTGAATTTTTTGTCCTGCATTTCTTCCAGCTTATATTCAAGTTTCCAGGTGAAGAATACAGACTCTATACGAGACTTTTGTATTGATGCTCCGAGTCAAAATATAAATACAAGTATTAGTGACATTTATAGGCTTTATCAATGCCAAGAGAATTACAGGAGTATTAAGACAACATAGGTTATACGTGTTTAAACCTATTAGTAGTTGGAATCATACTAATTGTCCTGTAGCTTATTGGTGTGGATGAAGGGAGCAAGTCAAAGTTATACTTATATATGAGTGCTTTATAAAAATGAATAACAAACAGATTCTTTCAATCCACTTCACTAGCCATTCTCTCACCTGCTTGAACCACTCGATTTTCAAAGTAGAAATTAGAAATAGAAATAGTTTCAGTTACTTGTATTTCTCAAAAAACAATATTTTATCAGTAAAAAATGAAAATTCACCAAAGTTTATGTTAAAGATTTAAAATTAGTGAACTTCGTAGTGACATGCACAAGTGAACACTTCCTAATAACTTGATAGTGGAAGTTCTATTTAAACTAAAGTTGGTTCAGTTTCGAATGGACAATATGAGTATAATTCAATGATGTCATTTGACTCTCTCGTTAGCTTTCAGAAGCATTTTGTAATTGATTTGCTGAATGTGTTTTTGGAGGGAAAGCCAGACAATCCAGTAAAACCAAATTAAGTGAGAAAGCCTCTATCACAGACTCTGATTGAAATTTATGTCATGGATATTTTTTTATGAATGTTTAAATTTGTGTTATTAATATACATGTCTGAATGGACATAACATTTTAATTAATAAAAGCTAAAAGTATGTTTAAAGTTTTATTATATAGAATTATTTCCAATTTTAGAAAACCTGTGAGTTTCTGCTGCGGCCATGGCAACAGGGTTTTGTGCCTAGTTCTGACCAAATCTACTACCACATATCCGTCATAATACCTACGATGAACATGGTCCGAGCTATGCTAGCCAGTCTAATTCAGGCCAGAGGAGTGGAGGTATGTATTAGTTTTTGTCTCGCCTCCACGAAGTGGAAGCCAGACTTAGGTGTTGCTTTTCTGGCAACGGCGTCGACATCAAGGTTTTGCGTTAGTTAGTTAGTATCCCTGAAAGTATAAGTGCTAAACCAACCTAACTTGGACCATAGATGCATATGAGGTAGTGCATCTCTATCCATGCATCAAATGCTGGATGCAGCCTACCTTTCATGGTCCATTGACTTTGTCAGCATCTCCATCAACATTAAGTTTTTGCATTTAAGTTAGTTTCTCTGATATGTGCATTGATGGTCAAAGCGGGGCATAGGTGAGACATATTAATCCAAATGGCTTGTTTTCATATAATAATCATTTCCGCTTTGCTGTGATTGGCCAAAAATGTGCTCATAGGTTTTTAGGTCACCTGAGACAAAGTCTCAAGTGACCTATTGCGATCGCCTTTTGTCCGTCGTCGTCCGTCGTCGTCCGTCGTGCGTCCGTAAACAATTTACATTTTTGACTTCTTCTCCAAAACCCCTGAACCAATTTCAATGAAATTTTGCAGGGACCTTCCATGGACAAAGGTCAACAAAAA